CTCTCTTGGTGACAAAACAGGAAATGAGAGATAACTCCCTAGACAGTTGTCATTGCAACATATGTCCCCAGATGAAAATTCTGCTTTCCATCTGTTCCATTGACAGCCATAACATTTTACATTTCCCATAATTTTCTCTACTGGAGACACAGAGAGGGTGATTATCCACAAACTATTTAATTGTTCTCTAATTTAAAGCTATGTTTTTGTTAACAGGTTAGTTCACACTTAATCAGTATTATACAGCACCGTCACTGGAAGCCAATCATTTGGGACAAGTTCCTATAACAGACTGACCCTTCCAAGAACCATCAGGAAAAGCAATCCCACAGTAGATTGTGACATTTCAATTAATTGCCCATAATTTTGGCACGAGATAGATTTTAGCAAACATTTTACTGCTGCGTATGACATAACGGCTACTATGACTGAAATTATATTAGAGGTGCAAAAATAGTGCAAGCTGGAAGAAAAATGGTCGTCACTTGAAAGAGCAAAATACTTGATTGGGTTTAATAATCTGACTGACTATGTGAACCAGATAAACTTTAACAACAGTAGAACAGTTAATAGTATGCAACATTTTCCAGGATACAGGCTATTAGTCACAAGGATTAATGACTTGCTAAGGTTCCTTAGTTACAGATACTTGTTTATGCCTCAAATCCTTGATCAAAACTCCAATGCTACCTGGCAGGTCCGTTGCAGGATCTCTCTGTATTCTGGGTCTGCACCAATCACACACCTATTGTGCAGAAGCAGTAATGTAAATAACTTCTGTGCGGTATACTGCAATAGCCTTTAACCACTTTAAAGGTTCAGCAACACTAACCATCCCAAAGCAGCCACACCAAAATATTGGACCACTGCTTGGGAACAAGATTTATCTACACTAGGGAAGGTGCCCCTTGTTTTTGATTTTTCCTTAGATATCACAGTCTCCCTCACTAATGTGGGGCAGCGACCTGTAGAACCTCTGCATGTATATCTCTTCAGTGGAGTGGTCATCTCTGGCGCTATTGTTTTTTTATTTATGTGATCGTAATATTCAGCTCCCTGTCCTCCTCCATAGAATCTTGACTGGTGTACTGTAAAGTTCAATAAAAGGTGTAAAGGTGTACTGTAAAGCTTCAACCAGTGGTCAGCAATCGGACAGCTCAAAAACAATATGCCCAGTTGTGTGCAGCAGCCCCTAACCTATTTCACATCAAACAGGCCACAACACATAGTCTATCATGTGCTGTTTGTCAAGCAAAATCCTCTCTTATAGAAGAGCTGATTCTTCAAAGCAAAATTACCCAAGTCAATTAGCTAGACCAGGCATGGTCCAAAAGGGTCTACCCCAAAAGGATACATATCATTAAAGCACACTCTAATACTGAGGTTGCATTCACACCTGAGCGGAAGCGTTTACAGGCGATGTTGGAGTATTTATATTCATGCATGTTTTCATTGGATTGTTTTCTTCTTATTTAGACAATGGGAAGCTAGGTACTAGGAGAAGGTGATGGGTGTTTAACCTTAAAAAATGCTATTACTGGCATTTTTCAGGTGCTTCTATTGAAGTCCATGGGGCCAAAAGCACCTTATTCTGCTTCAAAAGTAGCTCATGTACTATTTTGAGCTTCAGGAATCAAGCTACAGACACCTGTGTGTTGATAAGTGAACAGGCATAATTTAAAAGTATTGGTTTTGGTTGTGGAGCATTATGGACATTTAAGCTTCAAACTATAAAAAAAACTAAGGAGGTTATTCACTAAGCTGCCGAGTGAATAACCGAGCCGAAGTGAACTGAGCCGAATGCCGGCTATTCACTTAAGCCCCGAGTGGCATTTGGCTCGGTTATTCTCCTTGCTATTTCCGAGGTAGCGAGCAGAGCAAGAAAAAATATGTACACAAAAGAGAGGGAAAAAATTACGTGGGGTCCCCCGATATACATACCAGACCTTTTAGGTCTGGTAGGAAAGTTAGGAGGGACCCTAAATTAAAGAGTAAAAAAAAAAGTGTGTGGCGTTCCCCACAAGAGTCATAACAGGCCCTTTGGTTCTGGTAGAAATTTTAAGGGGGAACTCCACCCCCCAAAAATGGGGGAAAAGAATGTGGGGTGCCCCCTAAAATTCACAAACAGACCCTTAATCCGAGCACAGACCTGGCAGGATAGGAAAAAAGGGGGAAGAGTGAGCCCCCCCCCCCCCCCCCCC